TGCTACTGCATTTTGATAGTCATTGTTGAGTGATACTGCATTTTGATTGTCATTGTTGACTGCTACTGTATTTTGATAGTCATTGTTGAGTGATACTGCATTTTGATAGTCATTGTTGAGTGATACTGATGCTGCATTTTGGTTTGCATTTACAAATCGAACCAGCTTCAAAGCAAGAACCCAAAAGACCTGAAGAAGCAATTGCGGGTAACGTTTGTGGGCGAAGAAGGGGTGGACGAAGGGGGGGTACAGAAGGAATTTTTCCAGCTTGTGATTCGGGACATATTCGACCCGAAATACGGTGTGTGCTGCATTTGCTAATTATTCTTGTGCGCTTAAGGTACTTCATTTGTATGCCACTATACAGACAACGGTGTTTTCTTCTGATTACTTTGTATACTGAAGCTGCTGGTGACATGGTTACTTACTGGCCTTACTTGTGTGTACCGCTTTAGTAATGTACGGCGTGTGCGTCAATCAGCTACCGTGGTGCTTGTATAGTTTTACCAAATACGACTTTACTAATTATCTTCTCGGCACCTTCTGAATACGATGAAAATGCTATACAGGTATGTTCACGTACAACGAGGCAGCACACCACTACTGGATCAACCCGACCTCGGCGTATTTGGGAAGTGAGGGGGAGTTCTTCTTAGTTGGCCTGGTAAGTGATTGTCATCTTGCTACTATTTGGTGCGCGTATAATTGTGCGCACATTTATAACAATTCATACGATGTGCATACTGTTTGAGCCAAGCTTAGTATGACATACGCGGCAGCAATCGCTGGATGGTGACTGGAAATTCTTCACCTCGCACCAGTACCGATGTGTGTAAGTGACCAACTCAGGGAAGCCACGCGACCTTTGGGTACTCAACAGCACTGCATCATAATACGCTGAGATTGCCAAATTTATATACACTTCTGTACACACGCTACAAAATGCATGTTAAGAGTGCTGCAATCCAACAAAGGTATCAATGGTTTATCATATGAAAACACACAGGTACTTGGGCTTGCCATATACAACTCCATCATCCTGGACGTGAGGTTTCCGATGGTGGTGTACAAAAAGCTGACAATACCGTCAGGGGCTGACTCGGATATAAACGTGGATGTGACACTTGACGATTTGAAGGGTAGGTCCACGCACTGATCTATTTGAGCCACGATAGTCATGTCATGGGATAGCGACTCATTGAAATCAACATATATGCATTTAGATTGATTTACCGGGTGTCCAAGCTTGCAAGGTATAGACAAGCAAGCGCGTAATTCATAAAATTAGTCTACCCTGTTTCGCTTAGCACATACGCGCCCGTGCTATCAGATGTAGCTCAACGCACAGAGTTCGAGGGTCAGCAGCGTGTGCGTGTGGCTTTCACTTTCTCGTTCGATTTTACGTTGTGGATTCTGGTCGGCGTGGTACACAGTGTGAACAGCACCCCATAGTAATTGACCGTGGTGCACATACTGAGGGCCATATCATTGATCCTAATTAATTATTACATAGTTCGGCTGGCCCGAGGTCAGTTTAAAGTCACATCACTCACTCGTTCAGCTAATGTATTGTCGCAGAGTCTCACATCCGAGTACAGTTTATAAACCCGTGGGTGCTTTATATGTGTATGTCTGCATGTGTATATGAACTACAACTATTCATATATCACCACGCACGCATTCATACCCACCATTTACCTAAACCAATAGAGGCCGACCCGGAACTAGCGAGAGGGTTGGAACAACTGCTGAAGTTCGAGGGAGACGTATCCTCCACCTACCACCGCACATTTCAAGTGGAGTATGATTTGTTCGGTGAGGTGCAAACGGTCGATCTCACGCCGAATGGCGGGGTCAAGCAGCTGACTATCGAGAACAGGGAGGAGTATGTGGACCTCTATGTGCAGTGGGTGCTCAACCACTCTATCGCCACGCAGTTTAAGGAGCTCAAGCGAGGCTTCGATGTGATAGCCGTCGGCGGCGCATTGCAGGTATTTATGGCCTACGTATTGATATGTGTATGTATTGGAGATAAGTACAATTCAGGAAGATATTTATGAGTGTGTGTCACTGTTTGGCAGTTTTTTTTTTCCAGTGACTGTTTGGAGTGTGTATACCGCGTGTCTTTATAAGTGCAGTGCTTGGCTTCAATCTCCCATTGTAGTCGAAGTTGGTATGGATTCAATTCCTTCTTCGGGTTTTAATATATAAAAAGGTCTTGGTAGGTGTATGTACACATTTTGCAATCGTTTCCGGTATTCTCAACACCCAGTGATGTCTTCATGTACATGTCCCGCCGTCTGATTACGGTTGCTATTAAACCCACACCCGATCCATTTGGGCTCAAAGTGTCCTGCTGACACTTCGCGCGGTGTATCACAGGAATTAACTCATAGTTTCTGTCACTGCGTGACAAACATTCTTGAGTGCTGTGTGCTGTCATGATCGTCATCATGCGCACTGATGGACACCCACCCACACCCAACGGGCGCGGATCAATTGTCACTTTCTTGTAACTTGTGCTGCATTTATGTTCGAGTGCCAAAGACATTATCGCGCGCCAGAAACGATAAGGTTCAGTGTAGCGACTATATTTATAGATATAGCACGCATGTCATGTCAGTTAGTGATCTCATCGCCACTTCACGTTTCTCCACACGTGATACATGAAACGCAGCTCTTTAGACACGAAGAATTGGAGCTGCTGATCTGTGGCTGCCAGGATCTCGATTTCGAGGCACTGGAAGCCAGCACTGAGTACGATGGCGGATTCACAGCCCAAACACCAGTGATCAAGTACTTCTGGGAGATTGTGCACGAGTTCACAGATGCGCAGAAGAAGAGGCTATTGTTTTTCGCGACGGGAAGGTGCGTTTCACGAATCCGTGATCATAGTCGAAGTGTACGATGTCTCTGCAAGGACATTGTAGTACTCATCCTTCAGCACTTGTGTCACCTACCAAGAACCGAATGGGATTGCACAGAAAATGTTGACTATCGTTGTTGGCATTTTGGTGCCTGCCTTATAGTCATACCAGTATTTGTTTTTGGAATGATTTCAAATCAGCAGATGCCTAAATCCGTTTATGACTTTGCAATCATGTGGCCTGATCGTATATTATGCAAATACTGTATCTATGACAATGTATTTGGGGGGCACGCTCAACGTATCTATTGCCTATGTGCATGTGCAATCTACCGTGTAAGTGTGTGAACTCAAAACAAGGTCCTCTCTATACTTGATTTGAAGGTTATTGAACGGCTGGTGAACAATATTTGAAGCTGCTGTATAGTTTGAAGATTGTACAGGTGCTGCCTTAGCATATGAATACATACTTTACCACACCCACCCACACAAGTCACCTGTTATACGCATGCTAATAGGAACCCCTTTCTCTTCCAACCCTTGCCAGTGATCGTGTGCCGATCGGAGGCCTCGCCAACCTGCACTTTGTCATCGCCAAAAATGGAGCGGACTCAGAGCGCTTGCCCACCGCACACACGTGCTTCAATGTGCTGCTGCTGTGCGACTACTCATCAAAGGAAAGCCTGAAGGCAAAGATCCTCACAGCCATAGAGAACGCGGAAGGCTTCGGGATGCTCTAGAGGGACTCTTTATATATCAGAGCTAAAGGGCTTGAGAAACATCAGATGTACGACCTCTGCAGTAGGATAGTGTGTGACTGAGACGTGTATACACATGCGTAGTATATGCCGATATTGTAGCGATTGAAGTTGTTAGCAATGGCAGACGAAGGCAATTAGGGCAGTGGAGAAATGCACACACCTTGTCACGAATGGCTGAAATGCGACATAGCCTATACTGATTGCACACCCACAAGTGCGAGACCGTGTGTATACCGGCAAGCACTTCGTCACACACACACCCTTACGTATGCGGGTAGAACAAATACATGCACATATAAACACGCATTTGCAATTGCAACTGCAAATACACATACACGCGTTGGCAAATACATGAACACACATAGGAAGACCAGACCCACCTACAAGCACACTTACCCAAACATGCAGAGACACACCCAACACACCTATATACCTCTCTCCCTATCCCACCCTCCTTCTTCTCCCCCCCAACTTACACATATAAATAATTGGGCTTAAGCTCACACACTGTTGCATGCCCGGAGGAATGTGCAGCGGTATTTTGTTGCACGCAAGCATGATCACCGCGATGCCGTTGTGCAGGGACAGATTGCTTTCGAATCAACTGTACTAGCAGTATCAGCACGTGCAACAACACATTCAGCTAGGGACGTAAACAGTCAGGCGCTGGCCATGGACAAACCGTCCCTCTGGAAATATCCGGTGAACGGAATCCGAACAGTTCCCTGAGTACACGCCCTCAAGACAGCTAGCACGCCCCGATCAAAGCACTTCTCGGTCGTCTGTTAGTTCCTGCGTCGTACTCATCAATGAATATTAATCTGGTGGCTTATTTTTGAGCTTCATTGCACTGAGATCAGAGTTGAAAGATTCGGGGGTTGTACGGCCCACATAGACTCTTCCAGGCACCACCACTTGGCTTGCCACCAGTAGTATGTACTATATATGAGTAGTGCGTGCATTCTTCCTTACGAATCCAGCGAATGGGATACCTTCCGCTTTTCCGCCAATCTCAACATCATATAGTGACGGAAGGCGTGGCTAAACTGGTTTCTATACATATAAATATATATACATACTGTTCCTCACACCCAAACATAGCCCTCTAAGCATAGGGTAGATGCAAAGTCCCCGTTGAATTATGCAGCAGGCTGGCTTTGTAAATTGGTCTGCAAATAAAAAAAAAATAGTGATCGTCTTCATTTTGGTGTTGATCATTTGGTGGCTAAACACTTGTCTATCACCCAATCAGTCTAACGTATCTCAAGAACTACCATCCCATTGTAAACTGGCGCGAAAGTCGCATGAAAAATATCGAATCTATCCCTTTCCTTTCCAACTTCTGTGCTGAACAAGCAATTGACCTCTTGGTCCCAGTAACCTATCTTTCAAGGATTCATGTGGTTTCAGTCCACTACTCTTCCCTTGCTCATTCACTTCCGCCGGAGATCAAACACATGCCGCAGAGCTCCGACGTGTGACTAAATGTAGACTCGTCCGCGTACGATTGTGGGGTGGGCGGCACTCACTGCATATTTCATTGCGCGCAGAAACCTCACCTCCATCGCAACAAGGAATCAACCTAATTCAACCTTTATATACAAGCATACGCTTCGACGAGTATACCCGAATCTCATCCGAGTTTCGGGACAAAACGGTTGTACATGCACCTTCACGTGCCATCCATCAATAGGTACACCACGCCTACTCCTTGGTGATCTTCGCTGCACGCACTTGATCAAAAGGCGCCTCTGGATCGTGCGCTATCTCGCTGACATCGCCCACCTGTCCCGTGCGCACCTTGCCCGCCATGGCCTTCATCGCCACGCGTGACAGGAACTCTTGGTTCTGATCGATATATTTGACCAGACCCTAAAATAACGTCGGGGATGTGGAATATAGTGTTGATAATTAGAGTGCTTTTGAATAAAATGATAGATTCTCGCTTCTGATCGATATGTTCTCTGTTATATGTTGAAGAGGTTGGGGTTAAAGGTTGATTTGATTGATGAGTTGGGTAAAGAGAAATTCTCATACTTGTCGACATATTCCGTCCATATCAACACCTGTTGCTGTTACATTTTGTAAGTATTAGTTGAAAAGTTCAATGCATTGAAAAAGAATGCATGGTTTGTGATTTGTAGAATAAAGTAGGTAAGTAGAGACTCTCTATCACCGACCGTAGCTCGCAATACACATCCTCCCCCCTCTGAAAGAAACAGCCCTGAGTCATGTCCTCATCATACGGCCTATTCGAAGTACTGCTCAAGCTGCTACAACCCGTTATACAGACACTGCAAATGTTCATCGCGCACCTAAATGCGCAAGATACGCAATATTTCCAATCCGAACTTCAACAGAAGTAGTAGAAGCGAATAGCGTTGATGCGCCAGAGGAACGCACAAAACACCCTGAAATAGAGTCATCCACGATTCACATACCTTACAGCATTTGTAGTTATACATCTCACGTTGAGAAACAGATCCCGATTTGGCTTAGGGTATAAATCCCATACTATGCTCTGATGCAATGATAAAACATCACTCATTTCTCAGCAACGATAACCACCAGTGTCAAGGACACGCTTAGGAAACAAGCGCCTACCTTGAAAGCGCTCTCACGGATACTTTCGGCCACCTTGTGCTTCTTGAAAACAGCCTTGAACTTCCTCTCGATTGAACTGTCGTCCTCATCTTCATTATCATCCTCGTCTAGCAATATACAACGGTAGAATCGAGTCAAACTAACTATATTTAATGGTATCTGATTGCAGATTTTGGCTTGTTTTGAATATCAGCTGATAGAAATACTGAATTTTGAATATCAAGGATTGTGTTACTGGCCTTGTGCGCCAAAAAGGCCATATATATCCCTCACTTTGTATGGCATACAAGTCTGATAACAACCAGCATACTGGAGTTTGAAAATCAGAATAGTGCTTAGACCTGTCGCTATGTGCTTTAATTAGAGCTGATTGAATGAAAAGCGATCTTAAACGATTCAAAAGGTGTAGCTTACTCAGTATCGCCTCGAAAGCTGTAGCAGGAATTTGATAAAAAACCATACGAATGCACACGATTACGCGAAAAGGTATTGGCAACCAGCACAAACCAATCAAATATCATAAAACATAAGTGTGTACCGTCAATAGCTCTGTCAGTCATTTTACGCTTCTTTGACTTTCTGTCCAGGTAGCTTGCAAACTTTTCCTTTAGTATATCATCGATCGGCCCAATATCAATGTCCGGGAGAGCGATTGCATCGACTGCTTTCAGTAAGACCTGCATAACACGATACACGAGGCAGTGTGTGTTGAATATTCGTATACATTGAGGCAATCATCGGTATAGAAATGTGGATGGGCGTGTAATCCATAGTAAAACCCCATACATAAATAAAAGTAGATTGATGTGTCTACTTAAGAAGGTATGCACAAATAATCATTATAAGCTCGCATGTAGTTGGGAACCACGTCACAGAAGTATATACGACTGTAGTATGGACAAATTTATACTCAGCAGCAATATTCATACCGCTGCGAAGTCACCAGAAAACGAAGAATATTTCGTAGGTACTATGTCCAGCGCGTGTAGTGAACACAGTAGTTTGTACCGATGATTTCATTTACAGTAGGACTTACATTGCATTGGTTCAAGCAAACACATAACACAATAATTGGATGTATATAACTGCCTTCTAATATATAAGTAGAACTTTTGATTACAAGAACATAGTCGTACCGGATAGCTTTGCTTTGGTAATAAATTTAGGCTGCGGTCCAACACCATGTCACCTATACACCCACCCAATGCATTAAACAGCGCAACGGTCAAATCCGCAAATCAATTGCTATGACGCCATTCGAAGGGCGGACACTAATACAGTTTACAAGGGTGGTAAAAAAAGATGCTTACGTCTTTCAGAGGCCCATTTGCGACTGAAAGCGACTGCCCAGACTCATACACTTCTCTTTCGGTTTTGTGAGTCATGCTATCCTTGAATTTGACGACAGCCTCCTCTAGTTTGGCATCCAGATCCACTAAATCTATTTATAGCCCCAATTGGGGCAAGATTATATTCGGGACTTGTTTAGTGAAGTTAGATTGTAGGGAAGGTTCGAATTGGCTCTTGAAAATTAAACTAATGATTTTGTTATTGTCTATCATTACCTTTGGTCGAGATAGTATGGATGGGGAAAAAAAAACTACAGAAATTGAAGTAAGATTTGCACAATGTTTTCACTTAGCAAAACAAATGTCAAAGCCAAAGTGATTGATTTCAAACCAATAATCCGCATCACGAGGTCTAGGTGTCACATATGTCACGTATTATTCTTGAGTCGGTTATATTACGATAAATTTGCAATGCAGTTTGAGAGACTGCTATATACATTCAGCATAGTAAACCCTCAGTGAAAAAGACAATGTTCCCCTGTGAAGTTTCAAGTAGCCAATATCACAGATGAGATTTATCTAGTCTATGCCTTATACATCATCGTTATACCAATAAAATGATCAAGAAAAATTTAATGCTACACAAGACACAGCACACTTTCAAATATGTATTTATGACCTACTAATTAAACGAGCTAGGCTTGCCAGGCAAGACATAATAATCATCATTGTGATATGTCTGACAGTAGTATTTGGTATAACATAATACATATATATATATATATAATAATGATAAGATTAAAATTAACTATAATACTAAAAATAAGATAGAATAAAATAATATACAATATAACAATATCCC